ATTTATCTGGTTAAGGACCATAATTACATTTACAGGTTGGCTGAAATGTATACATAATTTAGTTCCAATTTTCTTTATTCTGTAGCCAAATATTAACATCTTTAAAATGAGTATATTTACAAATCTACCCCTCTGGTTTAACAGATACTTAGACCACAGTGGGTTTTAATTACCTACAAAATTCTTGAGCTACCGAGCCTGTTTCATAATCTCCACATAGGGGAACAGGAGCTGTGTGACTACAGTTTTACTGGAAGTGAACAGCCAGTCTTTTGTGTGCTAACCAAGTCAGCCCTTACTGTGAAAGAATTTAGTGACTACAGTGATGATCTCTGTAACCATGAACTTTCAAACAAAAGCAACTGGGTAAACTGTGTATTCACTAACTTTTTAATCATTAAGGACTCTATGCCCTTTGCTACCAGACTTTTTAAAACAAAAGAAACAGGATTTTTTACTTAAAGCTGGAGTTTATAATATATGACATAAAAGGCATTAGTAGTAACATGGAGGGGATATATCAACTGAATTTTCTGGCTTTTCTAGATTTGCATCTGATTTACAGATTTTCAGGCAGTTCTTATTATCTATGGTAAAAGTTCAATGCATTCAGTGTACCTGTAAACGCTATGAATCAGCAAAGCAATTTTCTTTTCATGACTCAAGGCAAAAAGCTGCAAAAGTTTCAGTCAAGGCTTAAGAAAAACTATTTAAAAGATTGTCAGCTAGAAACTGGGAAGTCCTGAACTTAATACTGAGGCCTGAATGGGGTCACCACTATTTGCCATAACATTGCTAAGACTGTGGATTTATTTCTGTGTTGTTCTGTCATGTGCTGTTTTTACTTCATGTCATGTGCTGGTTTTACTTCAGAAATATAGAGATGCTGGGTCAGGCAAAGTAACCAGTTTTCTACTGGTGAGATATCAGTCAGAATTAATAAAAGCATTTGTGAACTCCTTATGATCTCTGCTCACTACAAGAGGAAAGGTAACCATTCCAGCTGCAAAAATGAAGAAGCTACACAGAAGTCACAGAATTGACAGAATTCACAGAATGACTAGGTCGGAAGAGACCTTCAAGATCATCAAGTCCAACCCATGCCCCTTCAGGAGGTGCAGCTGAGATGGTCTCCTTAGATTACCCAGGGCATTTCCAAAATAGCCAGCAGAGTACAGTAAACAGGGCAAACAGCACCTTCTGTGCCAGGATGTGGCAGGTGACCTCGCCTTTTGGCAACTGCACTCCCTCAAGCATCCAAGGGCACAAACTGTCATCTCCATTTGGTAACACTGGCAGGACTGACTCTGGCCTTCTGGCTTTTCTCTAGTGAAGATTTCTGACAGCTGACAAGAGAGACCACAGGCTGCAAAGTAACATCTAAACTAAAGTGTGCCTCGCTTTTTGTTGTATTTGTATGTTAGTAATGCTTCTGACAACAAATATTTTCTCAATCTGTGTCTTAATTTTTTGGTAAGACAGTAAAACTATAGATAGAACTACTGGTAGAAATTGACAAGTGATTTCCTAGTTGGGATGTAGCAGACCTTTTTATACTTTGAATTTGTGATAAATAAGTGCACAAAAGGTGTATGCATATAGCCTGGTGAGAACAATAACACTGGGAAATATGTATTTATTTTACATTTGTGTACATAAGAACATTCATAGAGAATTATAGCCATGTAAAATTAGTACCAGCCAGAACGGTTGAAGATCTTGCTGAATTTTATGAGATTTTAGATGACTTTCCTAGTGAACACTTCACTTATACTTGAACTCGTTCCGGTAAAGCACTTCACTTATACTTGAACTCGTTCCAGTAAAGATGCCTCATGAAGTCTTTTTAATACAGGGTTTGATAACTACACTAAACTACTACTTATAGTAGTAACTGACCTAGTACTAACTCCTGAAATGGCCTAAAAGTTACTTATTTCAGCTCATACAGCCGTGGGATTTTCAAGTTCAGGAGGCTCAGTCCATAGGCTCTGGTGAGAAATGATCCACTTGCTCTTTCTGGCAGCACATACTTGAGACGGGAGGAGTCCATGCAGCACGCACAGGGAGAGGAATGTGGTAGGTAACCTCTGTGCTACATTACATACTGGCCCTGGAGCTGATGGCAAGAGGGAAAGGATTAGGCTGGTATTTACTGTATGAGGGCCATTTTACAGCTCAAGGTGCCGTTGTAGTCTTTGCAGCTATTACACAGAGATATTTGGACTAATGACTTGTAGATTTTCATTTTTAAATAACTCTTCAGAGGAGCCTGTATGTGTTTCACCTTGGGACAAACGCTCACCGCAGTGTCACTCTGTAAGAAACACAGAATTTCAAGAAGTGACTTCCCTCCGTTCTTGCTTCCCCGTCCTTTTTTAAAATTGATTTTTAAAAGAAGAAATAAAAGACTTAACCAGGGTGTTAAGACTGGCTGCCAGCAGCCCTGGCACCCCCAGCAGCCCGCCTGTGTGTAGGGACAGGGCGTGCGGCTCCGCGGCCGCCCGTGCCCCGCAGGTGGCGGCGTGCGGGGAAGGGTCCGGCCGCCCGCCCTCACCGCAGTGTCACTCTGTAAGAAACACAGAATTTCAAGAAGTGACTTCCCTCCGTTCTTGCTTCCCCGTCCTTTTTTAAAATTGATTTTTAAAAGAAGAAATAAAAGACTTAACCAGGGTGTTAAGACTGGCTGCCAGCAGCCCTGGCACCCCCAGCAGCCCGCCTGTGTGTAGGGACAGGGCGTGCGGCTCCGCGGCCGCCCGTGCCCCGCAGGTGGCGGCGTGCGGGGAAGGGTCCGGCCGCCCGCC